CACGTTATAAAACTAAGACCCTGTTATAAAACTAAGACCCCCACGTAATAAAACTAAGACCCTGTTATAAAACTAAGACCCCCCACGTTATAAAACTAAGACCCTCCACGTAATAAAACTAAGACCCTCCACGTAATAAAACTAAGACCCTGTTATAAAACTAAGACCGCCCACGTAATAAAACTAAGACCCCCCCACGTTATAAAACTAAGACCCTGTTATAAAACTAAGACCCCCCACGTTATAAAACTAAGACCCTGTTACAAAACTAAGACCCCCCACGTTATAAAACTAAGACCCTGTTATAAAACTAAGACCCCTCACGTTATAAAACTAAGACCCCCCACGTAATAAAACTAAGACCCTGTTATAAAACTAAGACCCCCCACGTTATAAAACTAAGACCCTGTTATAAAACTAAGACCCCCCCACGTAATAAAACTAAGACCCTGTTATAAAACTAAGACCCCCACGTTATAAAACTTAGACACTGTTACAAAACTAAGACCCCCACGTAATAAAACTAAGACCCTGTTATAAAACTAAGACCCCCCCCAGAATATTTTGAATTTTTCAGAAAATGTGTCCAACATATTGCTCTAAATGATAGGAGCTTTGAAATTTTGATTAAATTTCTAGAAATAGTCTAGAGAAAAAATGAAAAAAAATGAAAAAAAATATTTGAAAAGAGGTCTATTTTCCTTTATCTGACCACAATTTTTGTTTCAGACAATTTTTCTTATTTTCAAAGCTCCTATCATTTGAAGCAATATATTGGGCACATTTTCTGAAAAAATCAAAATATTATGTTCAGTGACCTTACCGATACCCTTACTTTTAACTTTTTTTCAGTCACATTTTCAGAGGGCTGAAAAACCATTTCAGCATGGTTAGTGTCATTTTGACATGACCATTGTGATCCTGGTCATGTAAATGATAAATGGGAGTAGTAAAAATGACAGAAGATCAAAGCAGAACTCTGCTATCTTAGTTCAAAAAATCTAAAATCACATGGTTTTTTCATTTCCTGTTTGGTGTAAATTTCGAATAACTTCTCCAAGACCTTAAGCTAATCTTTATATCTATATCTATAAGACTATCTTTTGTAGAATCTGTATGTTACTGGGGAACACATGTGCCAGAGGCAAGACTACCTCGCGAGCAGAGCAAGGCACGATGATTGATTCTTAGTTTTATAACAGGGTCTTAGTTTTATAACAGGGTCTTAGTTTTACAACGTGGGGGGTCTTAGTTTTATAACAGGGTCTTAGTTTTATAACGTGGGGGGGGGTCTTAGTTTTATAACAGGGTCTTAGTTTTATTACGCGGGGGGTCTTAGTTTTATAACAGGGTCTTAGTTTTATAACGTGGGGGGTCTTAGTTTTATAACAGGGTCTTAGTTTTATTACGTGGAGGGTCTTAGTTTTATAACAGGGTCTTAGTTTTATTACGTGGGGGGTCTTAGTTTTATAACAGGGTCTTAGTTTTATTACGTGGGGGGTCTTAGTTTTATAACAGGGTCTTAGTTTTAAAACGTGGGGGGGGGGTCTTAGTTTTATAACAGGGTCTTAGTTTTATTACGTGGGGGGTCTTAGTTTTATAACAGGGTCTTAGTTTTATTACGTGGGGGGTCTTAGTTTTATAACAGGGTCTTAGTTTTATAACGTGGGGGGTCTTAGTTTTATTACGTGGGGGGTCTTAGTTTTATAGCGTGAGGGGTCTTAGTTTTATAACAGGGTCTTAGTTTTATTACGTGGGGGTCTTAGTTTTATAACAGGGTCTTAGTTTTATTACGTGGGGGGTCTTAGTTTTATAACAGGGTCTTAGTTTTATTACGTGGGGGGTCTTAGTTTTATAACAGGGTCTTAGTTTTATAACGTGGGGGTCTTAGTTTTATAACAGGGTCTTAGTTTTATTACGTAGGGGTCTTAGTTTTGTAGGTCTTAGGTCTTAGGTCTTAGTTTTGTAGACACCCTCCGGATTCCTGAGGAAATTCTACCCCTAATTCATAACTCATACTTTAAAATTGGAGAACTTTTTATTTTGACCTACATTTCGGACACCATATCTCAAAAGTGGGTCAAAAAACTTATTGACGGCAAAACGTTAACATTATTAGCACACTCTTTGCTACAAGTTTACAAAATTTCGGAGAATATCATTGAAGTGTAGTGTCAGAATCGCAAAATAAAAAAACTATGAATTTGACCTAGATTTTGAACTAGGTATTTTGGTGTCCAAACTTTGAAGGAAAGTAGCTTTTGAGGTCCCCTTCTTCTATGGGCTTTCATTATGTTTAGCTGTACTCATTCTTTATCTCGTATTTTTACACTTCAAAAAATTATTCGGTCCCAATGATTTAACATGGAGCACCAAATTTAGCGATTTTTGAGATCTCAAAACGCCATAACTTCAGAACAAGTAGTTGGATCGAAATTTGGTTTGCAGATCTAGATTTCTGAGAAAATTCTACCCTTAATTCATAACTCATACGTTAATTTTGGAAAACTTTTTACTTTGGCCTACTTTTTGGACACCATGTCTCAAAAGTGGGTCAAAATACTTTCTGACGGCAAAACGCTAACACTATTAGCATACTCTTTGCTACCTGTATACAAAATTTTAAAGCAAATCATTTAAATATAGTGTCAGAATCGCAAAAATAAGGGAAAACTATAAATTTGACCTAGATTTTGACCTAGGCATTTTGGTGTCCAAATTTTGGAGCTAAGTAGCCTTCGAGGTCCCCTTCTTTAATAGGCTTTCATTAAATTAAGCTGTACTCAGTCTATATCTTGTATTTTACACTTCAAAAAAATCTTTTTTCCCATTGCCATAACATGGGGCACCAAATTTAGCGATTTTTGAGCTATCAAAACGACATAAATTCCAAACCAAAAGCCGGATTGAAATTTGGTTTGCAGATTTGGATTCCTGAGAAAATTCTACCCTTAATTCATAACTCATACGTTAAATTTGGAGAACTTTTTAGTTTGACCTACTTTTCGGACACCATATCTCAAAAGTGGGTCAAAATACTTCCTGACGGCAAAAGGCTAACACTATTAGCACACTCTTGGCTACATGTACACAAATTTTCGAAGAATATAATTAATCTGTAGTGTCAGAATCGCAAAAATAAGGAAAAACTTTGAATTTGACCTAGATTTTGACCTAGGCATTTTGGTGTCCAAATTTTTATGAAAAGAAGGTCTTGTGGTCCCTTTCTTTTATGGGCTTCCATTATGTTTAGCTGTGCTTAGTCTATATCTCGTATTTTTCACTTCAAAAAAATATTTTTTCCCATTGAATTAACATGGGGCACCAAATTTAGCGATTTTTGAATTTTCAAAACGCCATAACTTCTAAACCGGAAGTCAGATCGAAATTTGGTTTTCAGATTCGGAATCCTGAGAAAATTTCCCATAAGACCAATATCCTGGACATTGGATTCGGTGAAATTTTTTTTGGACCTCGTTTTCGGACACTGATATCTCGAAATCGGTTTGAGATACCAAAAAACTAAATCGACCCTAGGTTTTCTACTTTTTTATGAGGAACACAATGAAAAAAACCAGGATCAAAAATATTGGAGGACGACCGAGATAATGGGAAAAAGTGACAAAGTACTGGATTTGACCTAGTTCTTGACCTTTGACCTAGATAAAAATTTGACCTAATTTCCCAGAAAGCCAGATACATTCCCTAGTTAATCATGTAAGCAGCTTAAAGTAAGCTCTTCTAGTTGGTGAGAAATCTGGGAAGGAGGAAGAAGAAGAAGAATAATAATAATAATAATAAAGAAAACTGGCAAAAGCAATAGACTCCAGATTTTCATCTGGAGTCTAATAATAATAATAAAGAAAACTGGCAAAAGCAATAGACTCCAGATTTTCATCTGGAGTCTAATAATAAAGAAGAATACTGACGAAAACAATAGACTCCAGATTTACATCTGGAGTCTAATAAGAATAAGAATACAGGCAAAAGCAATAGACTCCAGATTTTCAATCTGGAGTCTAATAAAATGACATTGATTGTTCTGATATGATGTGATATCGTATACGATATATCGTATATATAATATATGACACATTTAGGGGACTTGATAAATCATGAAATAACATTAATTGATTTGATATGATATTATCGTAAATCATATGATACATTTAGGGGACTTGACAAATAATGAAATGACGTTGATTGTTTTGATGTGTATTTAAGACAACTTTAATTAATTTATTTTATTTAGGACGCACGTGCGTATTTGGCGTAACATACGCTTTTCCCATTACATGGTATAGACAGAGTTACTAACTAATGAAAATTATTGCTTGCATTTTGTCTTTAATAGCTAAAGAACTTGATTGGGGATACCTTATTACGAAATTGTCTTGCATCCCACCTATTTTGACCCCTTCTAATTAACTGTTGTAAAAATGTAATAAAATGGCAGTCAAAACCTTTAATTTATTAAGTAATCTTTAACTTGGCTCACAGAACAAATCGTTTGTTGCATTTTAAAAACACAGATTTTACCATTGCTTTTGACTCTGTCAGTTGAGTGTCCAAATTTCGAATTAAGTTAGCTAAAGAGGTCTTCGAATTTAGCGGCAAATTGACAAACGTTTCATGCATCAATTTACAATTATGTCATGTAGCTTGAAACGTTGCTCTGGGGTTGAAATCAGATTTCTTGCGAGAAGAGGTACTGGCTGACTATATATCCCGGATAACCTGAAATGAAATTTTGGGAGTGTTAGTTGTTCACCATCGCAAAGTGTGTCATTCACATGTAGTTCACTGAAAAACAAACTTAAAAAACCACGTAAACGTTTTATATGTCACTGGGTGAATGGAAAAAAGCAAACAGTAGCTTAACATTAAATTGATCGAAGGACCCGGACCAATAAAATATTGTCCTACTTTGCGCGATGCATTGTGGGAGATTTTATGTCAATAACCATGTTTTCGTCTATCGCGTATTATTAGTCTCTATTGGTTAGAGGAGAGCTTACGATTGGATGATCTTCTTCAGTCTTTATGATTTACAAGAGCACCGGGGATATAAAGTTACTTGTGACAATAAATCATGATCACTTCGGGAGGTGAACACTGAACGAATACCTGAAACGGGCCTAAAACACCATATCACATTTAATACGTATTAGAGTGACGAACGCACACTATATATTTCGCCAGTGTTGGAATGAAGAAACAATTGGAACAAAAATAGGGTAACTTGTACTAAACGTTTGGCATTTTGAAGCATGCTCGATGTTACAACATTAAAAGTACTGACGCGCAGCATACATTCTTTATAGTTTGACAAATCTGATTCTAGACATCAACCGACAGGAACGCAATACGAGTCACCATGTGAGTAAAACTATTAAAATAATTACTTGATTACTAATTAAGTCAACACTGCTTGCACATCCTGGATCATGTTAAATAATATTTTTGATAGGTTTAACTGTCTGTATTGTATACGATAATAGTTAACTACATGTTAAATACGTCAATTTTATCGAAAACGTTACTGTCATGATATTGTGAATGTTTTCTTATAATTGTACATACCTAACTGCTAACTTCTCTAGATTTTTGGGGAGAGGTCATTTACATGAATACTTATTCACTGTCATATTCCTCACTCTCTGAGTCCTGCATGTGACCGGGAAATAAGAATCCTTTTACAGAGTGTAAAAAGACGTCAGCGTTTGGATACGGTACAGTATACTGTATAATGCTATAAAGCAAAAAAGGCCGAAAAGATTTTGAACGAATATCGATCAAAAATATCCATGAGCTGAGGTGAGAAGGCTGATCTGTTTCTCTGGTCTGAAGCAAAGGGAATGGATTTGATTTTGGGGGAGTTTTATTTGAGCAATCATGGAATAAAACCGTTATTCAATGATTGGAGTGAAATACAGAAAATATTCTTCCCGAGAAGGTCCGCATTTCACGATGCGATAATATTATTTGTTAGTACCTCAGTTGAAATACTCGATTTTGATTGGTCAACGAGCGGTGAATAATTTTAACTGTACACCGCGCAATGCATTGCCGGTGAATAATATTCCCAGCATTCCACTAAAATGACGTCATTATCAGACGATAAAATGGCCGCCGCTAGCACTAGCCGTTTCAAAAATGTTGAAGATGAGGATATTATTGGTCTCTTAGAGAGTAAAGACAGTCAAAATACGAAGAAAAATCTAAAACTTTGTACAAGAAGCTTTTAGTGGACTTCGCCCATGAGAGTAATTTGACTCCATTTAGTGAACTTACTGCCGTGGCAGATGTGGATCCAACTTCAAGTCAACTTCAAGGGTCAGAAAAATCTAAGATATTCTTCGGACTAACAAAACAATTATAGACCTCTCCATTCGGTTTACTGTCAAAATTATATCCCTCGACTGTAAACCTCGACCTACGGTCTCGGTTTACAGTCTCGGGATATAATTTTGACAGTAAACCTCTGGAGAGGTCAATAATTGTATACTGTCTCAGTGAGTGTTTGACCACTGAAATCTGAACCTTCGCCAGCGTAATTCGTCCGGTGTACCTTTATACCTGTAAACATAATAATGTTCTAATCTAACATTTTACATATATCGGGTGTCCCAAAGAGTGAATCACTCTTTGCCAATTATTTTCTCAACATTTGATCACTCGGTTTGGAGAATGAAGTTCTTCGGCTTATTTCGACGCCATCAATGCCGCAAACAATTATGATTTTTTACATAGTGTAAATTGAAATGTGATCCTCTGAATATTTAGATTAATTGTGACAATATTTTTTAAACGATTTGATGGTCGAAAGAATCGATTCTAAATGTAAAACTACGCTGGATTACCAACATAGTTAGCGAGTACTAATATGAATGAATCCTGGATTGATTAAGTACGTTTATTACGTGTAATTGTTGAATGATACTCCTGAAAGTATCAGAAATGTGTAAATCGTGATTGCCAATACCACATCGGAATAGCCTGACAACGGTAAAGTCAGATACCGTTGTCACAAATGGCGGAGATAACCGTCGCTTCAATAAGATTTTCATGAACTGTATGTTTAATAGAGAGCACATAGACTAAATTCCTTTGGATCAACAATCAATCAAAGTGCCTTAATACTCATTGTACAGTAAATGATGTTCTACCATCGAAATAAAGTCTTTGATTTAATCGATCAAAATGAGATACGGGACAACGGACACTGTAATTACCATGTGCAGTTGTCTTTCTGAATTACTCAAATTCAGATTCCGTTGTCATTGACGATGTCGATGACGCTATTGTGCCGATTCACGACCCAATTTGATCGAAATTTGGATTTCATATGAAACATCATCACATTAAACTGTCCTATATATAAACCTGCAAAAAGACTGTATTATATATATAGTCTATATGCGCAAACAGGTTCCCAGCCTCCTAAATTCTTACCTGAACAGTGTAGCTCACTTCATTCAGTCCAGCAAGTATAATATAACATCATCGTCATTAAAAGCATTCATTTGAATGAGTGTTAATTAATGACGAGAAATCACTATCAAAACATCGAAACAATTACAGTTTAAAAGATTGATATCAATACTAGTATTGTTGATTTGTAAATTGTAGAAATGTAATTCCAGGCACTCATCCGTGGCGCATCCACAAATACAAAAGAAATATATACGTGTGAGGAATGTTCAGGATGCCAGTCTCGGATTCAACGATACCTTACATAAAAAGGCGGCTAAGGTACGTGAGATCAAGAGTAAAAAGTCTTCTTCGGTCGAAAGATTCTTTTTCCAATTAAAAACTTATTTTATCACTTATCTTTTCTTACACCTTACAGATAGTTGTTTGACCGGGTTAACAGTTTCAAAGTAAAAACCCAGATATCTTAAAATAGGGCAAGGAGGATTGGCTCCCAGAGTGCACCACCGATATTCTGTCCCATATATGGGTATGTCGTAATACAAAATTCGAATTCAAACAGCCGCCATTTTGTTCACTTCAACATTTAAATCGTGAATTTTGGTCTTATTTCCAAACGAAAAATTCCCAAACTCACAAGAAATGATCGAGATATTGGTTCGAATCTTTTGAACTGTTTATTTTGAATTTATAGTCGGTTTTAATTTCAGAAAATAACGACATTTCGACGTTTTCATTGTTGGAAAATATCGAGTTTCGATCCTGGGAGCCAATCCTCCTTGAAAATAGGGGCAACATTTCTAGTTCTCACTTTTGGCTCACGACGCATGTAATTATTTGCATAATCTTGAACTCATCAATAGGTATACCGAATCCCAGCCAGACATTGTTGAAGTAGAGTGTCAAACTAAGAAACATTTTGACATAGATTATGACCTTTTGACCTTGATAAAAAAAGATAATAAAAATTACTTTTAGTTTAGCCAAGATTAACACGAGGGCCATATTAAATAGTGGATCATTCAAAGGAGCACGGAAAGTATCGCAACAGATTTCAGACAGTCATACTTGGATTTTGTCCATTTTCTGAGGATTTAAACAGGTGCATATGTTATGCAAATGCACTACCTCCAGGAAAATTACTCATAGATAACTTTGAGACTGGGAAAGTGCAAACAACCCACCCACGTATTTTTGGAAATGTTGTCCTAATTTCCAACCCCTTACACCCCTGCTTTTTCAATATTTGTTACATCAATATGTTGCGTTTTGAGACACAGTACTCATTTCTATGAGTACTTTTCTTGGAGGAAATGCATTGGCCTTACATATGAACCTGTACAAATCCCCAGAAAATGGGCAAAATTCAACATATGACTGTCCAAAACCTGTTGCGATACTTTCCGTCCTCCTTTAGCTGAAAGTAGAAGTGCAACGAAGAATAAACTAGACATAAAAATTGCAGGGACACCAATTTCGGTTTGACTTTGATTGTCGGTTGACGCTACGTCTGTAAATTCGGGGAATAGAGAGGTTAAGCTACACGTATTTAACAAAACTTGAACGTGAACTTCAATGCGCGCGCAGATAAATGACGTCAGATTTGATTATTTCCTGCAGGCCAGCGTGAAGTTTACAGGTTTTACATGAGATTATCATATTCGTGCAATTTACATACGCGTATTCAACAAAGCATGAACGTGTACTTCTATGCGCGCGCAGGGAAATGACTTCAGATTAGTCTACTTTCTACAGGTAAGCGTGAAAGTTACAGGTTTTTACGTGTAGATGAGTGATTACACGTTCCTCATTACGTGATTGATTTTAGCTATGTTCTAGGATGGCCCTAGAGCTCATATTTGATACAGACAATCTTACTTGTTTGTTTGGTAAACCCCAATCCTTAATTGGAAATAAAAATACATTTTAATGGGTAAATGACAACTTCAAATGTGATCGTTTGTTCATTTCGTAGAATTTAAATTGGCTAGACCAATTTGATGCCCGGGGCTTAGTACAATATGTATACTAAACGAAATGAAATGACAACCAGGGCAAGAAAGGATTTAGTGCGCCCTCCATTATGATCTCCCCATGAACAAAGATAAATTCATCTGATTTTTCAAAATAAATATACTGCTTTTATTATTACATTTATATGTACACTAGTATCTTGTTGAACTATATTCAGCACTTATTAGGGCCAAAATTCAATCATAAAGTGTACAGGGGTAGAGATGCCAAACCATGAAGTCTTTTTGTGTCTGTCAAAATCCATTTGCATCCTACACATCCCTACATCTTATCCAAATATGTTATTAATTAATGAAACATAACAGTATAATTTTTGTATTTACAGAGTTGTATGGGATTTCATAAGTGTAAAAGTTGCTTTTGAAGCATTTTTCTATAGCCATTTTGTAGGAAAAAAATGATGAAAAAATGTATTATCTTTTAATTTGAAGTATGACCTGAATCGATTGCAAACTTTATATTTGCACATCTGATCAATAGAAACCAATAGCCTCCATCGGAATCTGATGGTATCCACATGTTAGGTCAATAGAACACATCCAATGTCAAGTTAATCTACCCTTGCTGAACTTGTTGACCTCAACCTCAGCCAATGTGGGTCCAAACGCTTAAATATATTCCAAAGTATTATGTGACATTGTATTCTTAATGTTACAGTTAATGAAGGACCCACGGTCCTGTGCTCACACAGTTCGGAACCTTCAGAGGAATGTATATCCTGACTTTCAAACAAAAATATTGATTTGGATTTGTAGTCTCGAACTTTGAGAAACTTAGATAGCACAGTTGTGTGACCTAGTTTGATGACCTTTGACCTTGAACATTTTACTAATTCAGAGCTCAGTAAGGTCTTTTGTGATTAAGCTGACCAAAATTTACATACAAAAATCAATTTGAAAAATCAACTTTTTTGACCTTTCGAAGGTCAAGTAAAGGTCAAATCCTAAAACTAATGTCAGATTCGAACTCCTGGCAACTTGTAGATGATTTTCAAAAAAATAGGTCAAATTGAAGCAAGTTGAAAGATAACTTATTTCTACTGTTTTTTGACATCAAATATCTCAAAAACGGTAAAAATTTGATGCTGACATATATTGAGCAATATGTAGGGAATGCTTAAATCTAGTAATGATGTAATTCATTGCAAGAAATGATCAAGTATAAGGCAAACTTTGAGAAACTTGTCAATCACAAAACCTGCCATTGACTTTATACATGAGAAAGTTTCCTGAAAATGATATAAGTCCTACTTTTTGTCAAATTTTATAGAGTAAACACCAAAAACTGTAATTCCAAGAGCTTTGAAATCTTCAGAGGACATAAGTTGCATATACAGCAACTGCTAAACGTTATTTGAAAGTTCTACTTCAACAAAGTGTCTAGTATTTACAGAAAATTTGACTTTTTGACGTCGAAATCCGCAATTTCTCGGAAACCAGGCGAACTTGGGAAATGGCGATGATAGGTCAAATAGGCATTATGGATATGCATAAAATGAATGTAGATATGACTCAATCCGAATAGCAATTTTAATTTGTGCGGTCAATGTTGACGGACGGACGGACCAACGGACAAACAGACGGACGGACCAACGGACGGACGGACGCCTGGTCGATCCCATAGGCTCACTGTGTGAGCCAAAAATGATTCATTTTAATTTGTTCATGGGGAATCCATAATGGAAAGTGCACCAGACCCTTTAATTGTGGTTGAATATGAAATAAAGCAAAAATAAAAAACAAAATGTTTTATTGCGACTAGATTCGAACCCAGGCCTAACGGACTTACGTGAAGTGCTAGATTGCCGAAGTGCTATCCATTACACCATAGAGACATGATCTTTAGACATAGTCTCCACATAAATATAGCTTCACGTCCACTGACAAGGTTTCAGACGTGTAGCTTAACTGCAAATTTTCTTAAACGTGTAATTGAGCGTGGACTTACGCGTTCAGGTTTACGGTTTGCATTTATACGTGTAGCTTAACCTCTCTAATAAGTACATGTGTACTTGTAACTTTTCTTACAGATGCATTTTATATTTGGCAACTCTAAATAAAATGCAAGGCATGGAATAAGGAAATTTCCATGGACAAATAAATTTGATCGCTCCCTGAATGAAAAAAAAACATCAACTTAAACATTATTTAATGGTGAAAGTCAACCATCAATGTCGAAAGTTTGACCTTTTTAACTCTAAGTACATTGCAACACAATGGTACTAATTGGAATCAATTTGAGGAATCTTAAATTTTGATTTTTTGTCATTTAAGGTTACTTAGAGGTCGAATTACAAAACCGAAATTATTTTCGTAACCAGGGCCTTCCACACTTCATATCTGGAAAGAAGTGGGATGACATTCATAGTTTTGAAATTTTGACCCGCTGGGTATCCACTTTTTAGTTTGGGGCACCCAATCTGAAGACCTGGAATACATGTTAGAGTCGTGAATTGTATGGGATGGCATATGTATATGTATGGCCATGGCTAATTAAGGAAAGGCTAATTAAGGAAATAAAGGTGTTTCGATCTGGGGACATGCGCAGTTCTATGGTACTGGTTAATTAGTTAACATTAGTCTGTGAAGGGAGAGTTGGAAAATTAAAATTTGCAAAAATATGTTTAACGTCATTCTACGTAAAAATTAACATCATTTTATGGTAAAGGTCAAAGGTCAAGTTTAAAATTACAACCTAATTTTATATTTATAGATCATGTAGAACATAGAATATGTATTTATTTGTACCAAATGTAAACCAGTGACACTATAAACTATTTTAATAAATAAATAAAACATAGTTGTACCAATTTTGAATCGAATCTAGCCAAATCGTTTCAAGGTCGACCAGAGGTCGGATTCCAAAATTGAAAGCATAGATAAGGGTCTTCATTTGTCATTTCTACCTTCAAAATTAAAAACTGTGACTCTATTTTTGGAGAGCTACCTGTACATGTATCCTAGGAATTACGCTACCAAAATATGGGGATTGAATTCAAATGTCAGAATGACAGGAGATCTGTTTTGGCGTTTTCCCAAGAAAGGTGGGCTGGTACCTAATTTTAGAAATGATGAACTTTCCCTGCAACTTGAAGCTAGGTCATAAATGCTAATTAGCCAGAAAAAGAGTAAAAATCATGGAATGCCGTATCTTCGAAATCGACATTAAATAAATGATAATATCAATAAAATTATTAATTATATATAGAGAAAGAAAGACTGGTAACGACACAATCCAGGGGATCAAATATATAGCGCAGCCCTGGAATCAGTTTTGAAATGAAGTCTTAATTGATAGCATTCATTAAGTTCAGTTCTTATTTTCAACTCAAAGAACGATTCATATTTGGTGAAAACCCTGGTAATTCACAATGAATACCTTTTGATGTATCAGTTATCTTTCATGTAATGGCAATATTAATCATATGTCACATCTGAATAAATGAATTTTAAGTGAATTAAAATGTACTGGGTGTATTGAATAACTTGATAGAACCATTCATCTACTATTTACTTATCACGAACAACAACAATTGAGTATTCTAGTTTATATAGTTCATAGTTCAACAGTAAGTAGAAATGAAATAAAGGTTCTATTATACTAATAACAAATACCGACAGTCAATCAAATTATTTATGATTTTATGTTTTGCGACATCTTAAAAAATTGATAATTACATGTCTCAAAATAGAAAATGGTGGGAAAGTTTTGAAAAAATAGCAGACTTCTATTATAGTGTTATTTTAAACATGCATACTTTGCATGTAAGAAAACGCAAACCTTTATTTTTATAAAAAAAATTTAAAATAATTTAACTACTCAATAAGTGACGATTATTCATTAATTTCTTCGGTGCCTTTTACCTACATGTACATGTATATATATATAAGTGGACACTGAGAAACCTTTATGTCTTGGAGTTAGCCCACTAAGAATATACAATTTTCATAAGTTTGACCCATCGTCAATTTTACTTTTATCATTGCCCCATATATCAATTAGCATTACAAGGATTAATTTTGTAAAACCTTTGAAGTGAAACATGTAATTTGTAATACATGAGCAAAGTAGAGCCTCTAAGTGCGCTCATTAGTGAAAAAAACATTACCCCATTTGCACTAATGTTTCAATAAACCATTGGAAAGCTGAGGTTGCCAACTTTAAGAGTTTGACCGCTTCTCTATTTTATTGATTGGAAAATAGATGTCAACCCTTTCATCCCGAATGGGTAAAGTGAAGAAATCAATTGTGCCTTTTTCTAATTTCCCCCAAAATAGAGTATTAAATGCGGTCATTATATATTAAAGTATTCTAGATTTTTGCTAGAAGGGGGAGAGGTGGTGTTGGCCACCTTATTGGTGGCATTTCAATTGATATATATATATTTTTGTAACATTCTATCGAGTTTTGAAATATTGGAAAATATGGAATATTGGCAACTTAATCAAAATTAATATGCTTACTAATTTCCATACTAAAGGATGGGTATCGATATGATGAACTGAATGCAACAATGTTTTTCTCTTAAACCAATTTTTAAAACATTCTGTAAAAACACGGTCCTTTATGTAATGTTGACTGATTGACAACAATTTAATGCGATAATTATTTATATATATTTTATATAACTGTTTTTGTTAACATTTGTTTTTTAGTTAATTGTTTTTTGTTCCTTCTACCCATTCTTGAGAATGAAATAAAATATCTTTCCGAACCTTGTTGGGACAAAATAGCATATACAACATTTTCTTCGACCTCTCAATATTAAATTTATACAAAGGAAAGTTTGGTTGATTTAACAACAAAGAAACAACAAATAAAAAAACAAAATAGATAAAAATTAAGATAAACCTTTTATTTCATTAACAAGGTCCTTTTAAATCAACTAAACTTTCCTTTGTACAGTTACATAATTGAGAGACCTAACCATTTTTTTGTCATTTTGTTCCAATGAGGTTCGGATGGATGTTTCATATTATTTCGATACCAAGAGCAAAAGATATAATGTTATCATTCAAAAGATGATCGTTAAATTAACGATGTGTAAAATTTTCAGAATTTTTTATGACTGGTTTAAGAGAAATATGTGTTCAAAAGGTTCACCATATCGATACTAATCCCTTTCCCTTCAGAAATCTATCCATGGCCAATTAACGGCCCAATATAGTATATTTATTAGTAGAATCCCATCTTCAATTTCCATTTGAGATGTTTCATTATATACATATATGAATAACATTTTAGCCTACGTTATGCACCCGGGAGCGTTGCATGGGTTCTACTATGATGACCGTGAAGCAATCGGGGACGCCTCGGGCAAAAGAAGATGTGCTTACACAGGCTAAAGATTTCCTCGAGCAGTTTTACATCTCTATGAAACGGTAATTACAAAACAAACCATAGATGTATATTATTAGATACTGACATGTTTATAAGTATAAGTGTAAGTTACAGATTAAAATCATGTTTCCATATAAGTATAAATACAGGGTGGGCCAAAAAAGCCACTTTTTTCAAGGCACTACAACTTTTTTATTGTCCAACCTACACACCCCAAATTTTGAAGTAATATAGTGCCAAGGGTGCTTAGAAATAATATAATGTAACAAGTCCTTCAACTTGGATTATATTTGATCTAAAGGGTGAGTTCAATTGGTCTGCCATCCTAATTGATGATCTATTTTAGATTTAGTCGCCTTGCTGATATTGCAGTATCAATGAAATGTTAGCTAAGTTTTTTTCAACCTGTCTTAATTGTCAGCTTTAGTTGAGCAATTTTCTAGATTGGGTGCCTCCATACAATCTCCTGGAAACCTTCCCATACCCTATACTCACTGGGGTTTGCATCAGGGCTATTAGCTTGGCGATCATCAGGCCTTATCAGTTTAGGAACATTTTGCATATTATGCTAACTTACTTCGCAAGGCACACGACATGTTTAAGTGAGACGCTGGTGACATATTTTATTCCAGAAGTAAAAGCGTATAATTCATGATCCATGACTAGATAACAACCTCTAGTTGTCACATCAGATGGTCTACATTCAATCTGAACACACGACGTTATTTGGCATACCTATAATGCGGGTAGAGGAAATCTTCCTTTAAATAGTTTTACACGCAGGCGCAGTTTTATACGTTCGTATTGACCACAAGCTGTAAAGTTTTATGATACTATGCGACAGACATTTACCAATTTCATTTACATGTTGAAAGCCTAAACAATTACATATTGGATTAGATAAGAGTATATTAGAAATGTCCTATCATCTTACATGGAAGATGCCTATAATGATATTACCATGAAAATTGAAATGTTTTTACCATCAATATAAATAACCACACACGTCATATGACAGCTCAAATATTGAACTAGTTGCCAAAATACTTCTATCTATGTTTAATTTTTGAAATCGACCATAGTATTAGGATGGTAAGACAAAAGATTAACCTTAAAGCCATTTACATACAGTGATATATTTTTTATTCTGTTAAAAGATCTGGTACCCCAGCACACCAGAAACGTCTAGATGAAGTTGTGGAGTCCATTGAGAAAAGAGGAACTTATGACCTTACTTCCAGTGAACTTACTTTTGGTGCTAAAACCGCATGGAGAAATGCACCTAGATGTATTGGTAGAATACAATGGTCAAAATTACAAGTAAGTAGAATATAAAGGAGTTTGAATAATGGATTTTATCGCGAGGGCCGACTTATCTAATATATATATGTACTAGGTGATACTGTATGTTAGAACATACATCAGTACCGCTGGTTCCATAATTGGTAAAAGTTGATGATATCATTGTTTAAAAAATCCAAGAAAACTATGTTTATCTATAGCGAGTTTTGATCATTTCAAAACTTTGATATACCAATGCCACAGATCATAGGATAAGGTTCCTCAGTTGGCTTTAGCCACGTATTGCCATGGTAGTAAACGTATACCTCTTTCTTTAGGTGTTTGACGCCAGACACATAAACACTGCAAGAGGAATGTTTGAGGCAATCTGCAACCACATCAAGTATGGCACCAATAAGGGTAATATTCGCTCGGCAATCACCATCTTCCCACAAAGGACAGACGGAAAACATGATTTCAAAGTTTGGAATCCCCAGTTTATTCAATATGCTGGTTATAAACAACCCAATGGGGGTGTTATTGGAGACTCAGCAAATGTGGCAATCACAGAGGTATTAATTAATTACCATTAGTTAACGGTAGAATTAAATCTATAGGGAATGTCAAAATTGCAAGCAATATGTACGATTGATCTTCCAATGGATCACTTACAAGCTCAAATAAAATATCTCCCAAAAGATCAGTGATATGTTATCAATTGGTGAAGTTATTTGATATTAAAAGTGCAAGAATAGGGGAATAATATTTAAATTCTTCCAAATAATAAGAATGGTAACCATTCTTATAGACAAATGATAGCATTCTTCTAAAAATCTTTAGTTTTTCCTCAAATAAAATATTTACTTGGAGCATTTTTAGAAAATAGAGATGGCAAGAAATGATGATAATGATCCCAAACTATTCTAAAATTGAAACAATTTTCGTCAAGACGAAGCACCAAAGTAATCAAAGTAATTGCTAGATCTGATTCCGCCTTTAATATCATCATTACTTAAATTTGATAGATTATTGCAACATGTTATTGAGTAAAACTATCCTTGGTAATACAGATTTGCTGAAAAGAACATGTCATTCTTTTATCTATAAAGTATAAATCTAAATGCTAGCACAGGCTTACTTAACAGACTTGATTTTCTCAATCTAACTAGTTTTGTAACAAAGACACTTCTCTGTATATTATCTTTTTATGCTTATTGCTAATGCTCGTTACAATTGCTAGATAAAACATATTTAGTACTGTACATTGGTTATAAAACAGGTGTGTATTAAGCTTGGTTGGAAGCCAGGAAATGGGATGTTTGATGTGCTTCCCCTTGTTCTTTCTGCAAACGGCCAAGATCCTGAAATGTTCGACATTCCAAAGGATCTTGTTTTTGAGGTTCAATTTGAACACCCAAGGTAAACTTAACTCTATTTCATTCGTCACCAAAAATGTTACGTCAGTTGAAAAGGAAATTATGATCCTAGACGGAGGAACATTCAATTTCATTTGTGCATACGGATGTTTCAGGTCCACATATTAACCTCATAATATCTTACAGAATGAATGACCATATATATACATACACATATTTGAAGTCAAGTAGTACAAGATGACAATATTGACTTTATATAAGGTTGTTGAAACATTTTTTAAATGATATATTATACAAATATTGAATTGTACATGTATCGTATGATCTTTTAAAGACAAAAACAAAGAAATAAGATTTCAAAATCGCAGGAAACATGCCAGACCTCCCTCCCATATATTCCTAACCGTCTCAGTCATAAGTTATCCCCAAGAGAGAGGGAGAGTGAAATTCGGACATCCATATTTAAAGCATTCAGTTACTGAATCAATGCAATTCAATGAGCCGAAATCCGAAATTCAAAGTGAGGCAACCCTTTTTAGAGTTTTCTATGTTGTACTGTTAAATTGACACCAAGATCCCGGCCATTTTGTAACTGTAAAATATTTGCATCGACTGCCTCATGCATGGCTATACGTGCGGTCATGCATTCATACAGATGTTACCTCTCCAATCTACATAATTCCTACATACTTTTAGATTCGATTGGTTTGAGAGCTTAGGGCTGAAATGGTTTGCCTTGCCTGCAGTGTCGAATATGTTGTTTGATTGTGGCGGTCTCGAATTTCCAGCAGCTCCCTTCAATGGATGGTACATGGGAACTGAAATTGGTGCTAGGGATTTAGCCGATCCAGCCCGGTACAATATCCTCGAGGTAACGCATGATACTACACGACTGGATATATATTTTAAGATTTTGTTGATTTTATATCTGACTCCTGAAGGCTAATTAATATTTTGTAGTATTTGTTCTTCTCTTGTCGTTTTCTCTGTACATTTTATGCATCCATAAGGTTTAAACATAAAATCTTTTTTTGTGAATACTAACAAAAACAGATTAATAAAGACACTACCCTAATAAATAAACATATATTTTTCCGCATCATTGGTATACTTTGTGCCTCATATCCCCCATACAAAATGCCATCATATATTTCTATTGAAATAGTTTTTTGTATTGAATAATTATGTATTTTGTAGCGAGTTGCTGTACTGATGGGTCTGGACACCAAAAAATCGTCCTCTCTATGGAAAGACAGTGCTCTCGTGGAGGTCAATATAGCTGTGTTACACAGTTTTCAGGTAAAAACAAATGTGGTTTGAGGTATATGTAAGAGTACAAATCGTTCATTAGGCCAAAATCTCCGAGTTAGAGTTTGACACTACTGTATATAAAATACAACTGAGTGATCAATCTGAAGAATAAAAACATTTCTTCATCGTATTTCACTTAGGACTTTATAGATAAGGATATTTGATTCATAACAGACTTCGGATACACGACCCGAAAAACGTATATAATGCTGACGTTTTGTCGGCCTTTTGATCCGTAGAATCTGTCGCCGACTGTGATGGATGGTGTGCCTATTGTTTTGGGGGGTTATCTTGAATAACCGAGATCTAATTTTTCACTCAATTTAAATGATTGGAAGAAGATAAATAGACTTAACAAACTGAGTATCTTTGATCCAAAGTTATCATCTTTCACTTATAAATGTGTGGACTCATAGAGTCAAACATTTGCAATTTTTGTAAAGCAAATCCTGAAACGATTTGCTATCTTCTGTATGAATGAAATATTGTAAGTGCTGATGAGTGCTGATAAGTCGAAAATCATGGAAGCAAAATTAAACAAATGACACTGATAATTTTTCTTTAAAAAATTGCCAAAGGTATGAAATTCTAAAACACTAAAGTGTAACCAATACCGTAATGTAAAATGTACGTTTTCCATGTAACTGTATTGTAATTGTATTTTGCAATTGCTTTAACATGTTTTTTCTTCTCTGAAATAAAAAATAATGATAAAAAATTGACCTTGACCTGTTGTGATTAATTGGATTTACTCCTTATACTGTCTTTGTTTTTATTACAGAAAAGTAACACAACAATAACAGACCACCATGCAGCCTCGGACTCATTTATGAAACACATGGAAAATGAGGTCAAGGCAAGAGGAGGGTGCCCCTCTGATTGGGTATGGGTGGTGCCACCTATGAGCAGTAGTATGACACCTGTCTTCCACCAGGAAATGGTCAACTACAATTTGAAACCAAGTTATGAATATCAGGTAGGATACACTTTATACACCAGGTTTGTACCGCTTACACGTACAGTACATGTTATTGGAATTGAATGTAGCTAGCTCTATAGAATGATATATGAAAGAGGAAATAGATATCATTGTACATTATAATCTCTGAATGTTCTTGTATCGAACGACGTTACCAAATACTTTTTCTATTCTATTTTATATGTTTTTTACGAAGGAGTTAGCCTGGAAGACGCATGAGTGGAAGAAGGATAAAGAAAGGGGAAAAGCAGTCGGTGCAAGAAAGAAGAGAAAAATTGGATTTAAAGAGTTAGCGAGGTGCACCTTGATTTTATTCACGGATATATTAAACAAATTCAAACAAATTATATAAAAAATGCATGTATTATACATTCATATGCCACAGTACTTGTAGACTCTTAATTAATGGTCATGCATATTAACTCTGTTGCAGGGCTGTCAAGTTCAGTTCTAAATTGATGGGGAAAGCCTTGGCCAGAAGGATTAGTTGTACGATCCTTTATGCCACGGAGACTGGGAAATCTGAAAGCTATGCTAAGACACTTTGTGATATATTTATGCATGCATTTGATGCAAAGGTAAAGAAATATTCACATTCTATACAAGAACTACAAATATTATATATTTCATAATGTGCATGTTTATAAATTGGTACATTGGTATCTCTGTATATTATATGAGCCATATGGCATAAGAGAAGTTATATAGATATACATTTAGCACAACATTTCCATCGTAGTGTTGTACCCAAGGCCTTCACAAAAACCATCAATTTGTAGATTTACACATTTAGATACTTAGAGCTTTTTATCGCACTTTGAAGAAGTGCTATATTGCCGTCGTCATTCAAATACAAAACATTTTAATAACCCCCCTATCACACCAAACTAATTCTTACCCGTTCTTGCCATTCATATAAAAACGTCGTAAAACGGGCTAAATCTGGCTGCGGTCGGGATATATGTCTAAAATAATTAGCTACTTCGTTCATGAACAGTCTTCAATACGTCTGATTCGCAGTTCGTTCAGGTCGCACCACGTCGGTGTGCAACGTCGCATAACGCGTCCCTTAGTCTAGAAGGTCATCATGACCTGATTACAGAACGGTATGGTCGCCATCGATCGAATTTTGAATCATTTCAAAATTCTAAAATCACATCCTCGCTTTGATAATGCTTCTTTATCTCGTCTGCGACTCGATAAAGAAGAATTATCAAAGCTCATCTAGAATAGACGATCTTGCAAGCACAGGTACTCATATAAGAATTTCTACAGTGCGTCCCAAAAATACGCAACAAACAAGAGATTGTAAAATCACAAATCCAGTGATGATTACATCAATTTGATTTAATTTACCAGGAAGCCACATGTCTCCTCTTTCGAAAGGTATGTCAATTATTCATATAGGACCGCAGACCACTGAATAATCATTCCTTTTCTACAACGGGCCAAAATTTGCTCTGGACCAAGTTCTAGACATTGCAACAGTCAACAGAGAGTCACCAATGAGGTTGCTGCTCTCCGCAAGAACCCCAGATGATTCAAAGAGGTGTGCGACATGGAGACACAAGCCAGTCTCTGTGTGTAAGGGCATGGAATGTAATCTTTCATGAGTAATCTTTCATAAGATGACAGGCAATGACTGTTTATGCCACTTCTTTTTTCCATATCTTTTCTTAACTGAACCATCAAGGATACTGATGAACACTTAAAGTTAAATTTTCTTTTTCTTTTTTCTTAGTAATCAAAATCAGAAATTTGTGTTATGTAAATCTTGTGACAAGAATATAATCCCAGTATCAATTACATAATGATTTACCTGATTGCACAATAAGGATCTTTTTTTTTTTATTGGATCCTACACGTACATCATACATAATATACATACATGTTCATATAATTATTTAACATTTTTACAATGGATACTATTTTGAACAGCTCATCTCCATGTACAGAGGATTTCCAAATAATATAATTTACAAACGTTTACATCACAATAGCACAATAGTCTTCAAGAACATATGGGTTACCATGGTTTTATAATATATACTCCATACCTTAAATATATGATATATTATTTTACATTTTACAAATAGATACTATTTTCAACAGCTCATCTCCATGTGTACAGAGAATTTCCAAACAATATAATTTACAAGTGTTTACATCACAATTGCACAATAGTCTTTAATAACATACCATATATGTTATTACAGTTTTATTATATATATTCCATACCTTAAATTGATACAGAGTTATTGGCTTAATAGTTCAATAACCCATCTCCAAGTCTTATTGAAGGTTTCTTGCATATCATTTAAATTTGCGATGTTTTGTTCATCTTTGATTTTATATTTTATGATTTCCTTTATTTGGATAAAAGTGATTTTAGTTTTAATCAGTCTAGATTTATGTATTAGACTTTTTGTATACAAGATACAAAAATGTATGGCAATAAGGATCAGTTGATTGATATTTCATCACTTGGCACAAAGGCCTTTTCACCCATGTGTGAAAAAACAATGAGTTTTCAGTGGTCCATGATCAGATATGAACAAATGACATACCATTGGAAATGAGAGACACGTGGTTTCATGGTAAACTAAATGAAATTGATGTAATCATCACTGGTTTTGTGATTTTACAATGTTTTTGTTTGTTGCGTTTTTTTGGGACGCACTGTATATCTACGTTTCTCAAAGTTCGAGCCTACAAATCAATTCCTGCCATCAACATTTTAGGAAAATCGCTAATAAAGTTTTGAGGATGCTGGTTAATTTACATCATGGTGACCATTTTGGTCTTTAAAGTGCGATATTTATCACTGTGAGTGTCTTGTTTCTTGTATCAATTGCCATTAAAGTGTACACCATTGCTTGGAAGGACTCTGTAAAAGAATAATAGTTACATAAATGAATATCATTTTACAAACGTCTAGGTGTTATCCATGGATGATTATGACACAGCGGAGCTTGAACATGAAGCGCTTGTACTTGTCATTACCAGTACATTTGGAAACGGAGACCCACCAGAGAATGGAGAGGTGACAAAGCATTTTTTATTTCTTGACCCTTTCTTGACACATTTTAATACTAACTGTCCAATTATTACAATCCTCGTTCCAATACAACTATAATCCTTGTTCCATTATTTTGTATTAGGTTCCATGGAAAGTCTAGATACGAGATTTTAAATGACGATTTCGTCGTACTCTTGTATATCATTGGTTAATGAAAGCACGCAAGCTTTGATTTTATAACTGACTTTCTATTGACTTTTTAAATAATCCCCAGGGCTAAAGTAAGATGGCTTGCACATAAACATGTTTACAATACCATACAAAATACATTCATGGCCTCTCTTTTGGACAAATATTTTGAAAGAATAAAAAGTGTTTTCCAGACGCACTGATTATTTGCGTGATAATAATTGACTAAGCAGACAAACAGTTTTATATGACTGGCAAAGAGGTGGCATATGTCTAATAAAGTGCAGATGAAATAAGATGTAGGTTGACATATCAAAACGGACCAAAATAAGTTCTAGATAATAATCTGCATGAAAAAAAATTCAATTGAAACTCCGTGCTCCAAAGAACTCGATCATGTTAACCTGAAGTGAGATATAAAACATTCATTTAACATTTCATGTATGACGAAAATAACCTGATATATTTGTTAATATTTTCTATTCATCGCGTATTCTATGAATTCTTCTCTGTAGGTATCCTCAGAGATCACTCAAAATTCGGGAACCATATTTAACTATTTTCGAGAAACTAGCTTTTTGAGATTTTTTATTGAAAAATGTGTTTTAAATTAATCTTTTGGACATACAATTTCAAACTTTTGCGAAAAGAATCTTGTCTCGCCACTATTTTCTGGTCGTAGCCAGGATTTTTTTTGGGCTAATTAGTATACTGAATGTCTTGTTGATAGATCTTTTAAACACACCATTTCAAAGATTTAATCGAGGATACAGACGTAAAGCTACGTCACTCATAACATATAATTTAAAATAAATCAAAGTGGATCACAATATGGTTGATGTTTTTCTACAAAACAAATATAAGTATGTCAGTGTTTTGAAAAAATGTATGTCAATGTGTTAAGAAAGAATCCAGATCAGTATTGACTTCGTTTGCGTGCCAAGGGATAAATCGCATAATGATGTATTGATTTTAAAAATTCCTTTTTTATAAAAATATTTATTCTCTAAGTTCATAGTGATTTAACTTCAATGCATAATTACTCAAAAGTAAAGCAATATGAATAGCCTTTGAAACAGTTTGCAGGGTTCTTGTTTTTAATATAAATAGAACATAAGACTTACGATGGTGAATCCAAATCCAATCCAAATACGATATTTCAAGCATTGCGTCCTGGTAGATGACTTTAAAATTTTCTGTAATCACGTTTTCCATTCGGGTATACTTTCACGTGAAGTCGTCAAAAGTGTTCAAAATTACAATTTTCTGAAATTGGTATTTCTGAAGCCACCATTTGAGCCATTTTTACATTGCTTTCACACATATTTTTTAATGATATATCCTATCTATCCAAAGTTGATAAACATTTTTTAAACATAATTTCAATTCTATTCAATTTGATATTACTTTGGCTAAATTTTGAATATATAATGACGAAAAACAAGACTACTACTTGCATCTTGTCTCTTATATACGAGGATATGGCGGCTTTCAAAAACACTGCGGTCGTAACGGTATAACCAAGTCATAAATATTTAAAAAGATGCACCGTAAATTACGACGGTCGTAGTTACGACCGGTCCAAAAAAGCCCCGGGTGCTTTAGTTTGAAAATGAATGTAAGTGAAACAAAACTAATCTGTAATATTTTAGGCGTTCGGAAAAGCATTGTATCACCTGAAGGAACCAGATAATAAAAGCGGAAGCGCGTCAACTATTATGCGACTTGGATCAGATTCAAAGGAGACCAGGCCAGAATCACTCACAAATGGTAGTGATTTATTGGACAGAGACATCGGTCCGATGGGAAACTTAAGGTATTGGATTAGTTACGATAGTCGGCTTAAAGTACATGTGTTGTTGCCGTTTATATGCATTCTTGTTATGCTGAAGATTCGTGCACATTGTTGTGTACCGAAACCGTTATTGTCACGATTATAGTGACTCTGCTTTAATAGCTATGCCATGCATTTTCACGAGGCAGTCTTTGAATTCATTTTTGCGCTGAGACTAGAGCGTTATCCTAAATTCAGACGAACGTGATTGATACCCAAGCTAGAGTGCATATGTGAACGATTGCTTTAACCTCCCAAAATTGCACGACTTTTGCTACCTTAAACTATCTTTTCTTCTTTTCACAACCTTTATTTTACTATACAGGACGTTTCGGATTCTGTCTGGATCCTTTTTTTCAACTGTATATAAACTAAACCGAAGCGCTACAAAACAAAGAATACCTTTAGACAAATATAAAACGCTGAACGTTATAGAACACTCATTCGCATCAGTATACAGTTCTTGCATCCATTATAGCTTTGCGGTGTGCCCTTTTTATATATATTCGCTACGCTACCTTTACCTCTTTCCTTTAATATGCTTATTTTGCTTTCATCACTTTGTCTATTTAACATGTTTCGCCATAAACGTCATTGTTCTGCAGTAGTTACATGTAAAAGGGTTGGCTTTTAGTATATATGGGTAAAACTGAAAACCCTCTTCATGTCCGTATGAATGGTCACAGGGCTAACATTCGAAACAGAAATAAATTAGTTGCTGGACATTCCAAATCGGATTTTTCTGTCCAAATAATTGACAAACGTTTTAAAATTCAAGGAGAAATCGATCATCAAACTTTTCATATTATTTTCTGCTAAAACAAATAATTTGCCCCGGTTGACGTCACATTGGGTTACCATTAAATTTATGATAATAACTTAAGTTCATTTACTTCAGAGTAAATGTTTTATTTTCGACGTTTCGCTTATTATCCAATTAGTTTTATCAAGATTACATTAAAAAACAAAACATAAAACAGTTTACTCTGAAGTAAATGAACTTGAGTTATTATTAATATATTACCAGAGTGATGAATTTACACAGAAATTATATTTATAGTTACCATAGAATAAAAAAAACATTTAAAAAATTTAGAATGTTCACTGAAAAATGTAATAATGATATAAAACGGATCTATCTTCAGATTTTCAGTATTTGGTCTTGGGTCGAGGGCTTACCCTCATTTCTGTGCTTTCGCCCATTACGTCGACAACATTCTCTACGATCTCGGGGGTGAACGCATTCACACGTTGGTCGAAGGGGATGAGCTTTGTGGACAGGAGGAGTCGTTCAAAATATGGGCACATGCAGTATTCAAGGTTTGTCTCAACACGTTTTGTAATAATTTCGCATCTGACACTATTTCTATTTCTTATTTTACACTATATATGGTTTTTTAATTGTCTTAGCTCAAATGGCATATATTCAAACAATTGTGGTGGAAATGTTTAACTTACATTATTTACCTATATCGATTTGTGTGCTTCTGTTTTTGTATACAAGACACTTGGTAACAATAATGTTACAACATGGATCTCTATCTCGGGAATAGAGGTCCATGTATTGACCAACTAAAGGGAGAAAAGTAATTTAATGTGAGTGCCAGTTTGTATAATGTTCAATCTGGGCGATAATATATGAATAATTGTTAGTGTTTTTGTCAAACGTTCTATGTGTAAGATTACTTCAATTTGCTATTCGTTAAAATATCCTAAATAGGAGAATATATCACAGTCGGGGAGTTACGTGTTTATCACGATAATAATACATAACTTCCAGTCTGCTTGTGAAACGTTCTGTGTGGGTGATGACGTCAATATTTCTGCCGTTACTGGTGCTTTGGCGGATAATGATACATCCTGGAAAGAAGGAAAATATAGACTCACTCCAACAGCAGCGGGCAAGCCATTGTCTCTTGATAAAGGTAAAATATGATTGTAAAAATGAAATGTATAATAAGGAGTTATGGTTTTCTGAAAGTTCTTATGTTTGTTTGTCAACATTTTTATAACCTGAGAGAGGCCCACTACACTTAATTTAGAAGAATAAAGAAAAAATTATCATTGAATCATGTTACTCACACTCTAGCTCAAATATGACACAAAGTTTTGTTTGCTTTAATATTTAACTCACAAATAAAAAAGCATTTGAAGTTCAGAGATCATTAGTAGGGCATGCACATGTTCTTCAAATCGCACGTTTTAAATTGCTCTTGGTTTAAAAGATGGCGACACTTCTATAAAAATGAATGTATCATGTAATAGAAACAACTTCGCCATCTTTTAATGACATTGATAAGAACTTGATATATAAAGCTTGACAGATCGAATTATTTTTTGATAATTTATTGTAAGCTTTCATGTGGTCCGTTTGAGCTATTGTTTGTGTCAAATGAAAGATAGGGTTGTGATATATACTATACAATTCAAATGTAAGTCATTATTTTGCCCAAAACCATTGAAAATACGCAAAGTGGGTCTTTAAGTGTTAACTCGCTTCTAAACTATACAGGGTGTCAAATTAGTCCCGCCCCTTCCCTGCTACAGCATAAAATCTGTATATGGATCTGATATATGGGGTACGGGTATCTTAAACTCGAGTAAAATTAAAAAAGACCCACAATGGGCATTAGAAAAGGGATATGGTGGAATAACATTTGAATCTCTTCATATATCATTTATGAAATCGATACTCGGTGTTAACAGAAAGGCCAGTAATGACGCTACACGAGGCGATTTAAGTAGGTTTCCACTATTTATTTCTTTGTTTTATCAACAAATGAAATATCTTAATCATATTAACAATAAAGGAACCGACTCACTTCTACGTGAAGCCCTTGAGGTAAATAAACAACTGACAGATATGAATAAACAATCATGGCTCACGCACATCAATGATGTACTTAAATATATTTACAATGGTACTTCACCAAACTATTTAAACTTAAAACCAAGAGAAATTAAGAAATTACTGGAAAATAGATACATACAATTTTGGGAAACTAAAATAAAATCAAATAATGGTAAATTGAGGTTTTATAAGATAATAAAAGCAAAATGGAACAAGGAACCCTACTTAGATTTAATCAAAAATGAATTAGACAGAAATAACTTGACAAAGCTAAGAATTAGCGCACATAAATTAGAAATCGAAACAGGTCGTTGCACAAAACCAATTACCCCTATTGAAGAAAGAAAATGTTTAATGTGTAACAAGAAAACCGGTTCAGAATGCCATTTCCTATTAGAATGCAATAAGTTAAAAGATGTTCGGTCAAGTTACATGGATAAAATAAAAAACACTGTCAAAATTTAGAAAACATGAATAACGTGGAACATAAATTAATGTTTCTATTTAATTCAGAGGGAATAATATTAAATATACTAGCAAAATATATATCCAATATTTTTATCGAGAGAGAAAAAAACACGAAATGCATCCAATAAAATCTTGCAATGATCAAGCACCCTTTGATTAGTTAATATACTATATAGATAATTAGTTAAGCTTTTTCATTTTCTTCTGTTTAAGCTGTACACTTTGCCCAAATGTGGGATACAAGTATAATAAAGCTCATAATAATAATAATAATAATAATAATAATAATAATAATAATAATATATGGTACCTAGTGTGATATACCATTGGGAAGATCATCCAAAGTTCCGTTAACTCACCAACTCTCAAGTATTTTGGGAGAAATTTATCTATATTTTCATGATGTCCTTTACAGTTAGTGTGCCCTCCTCAAGCAGCTTTTATTGAGTCAAAATCAGAAGGATGTGACCTCAGAAATACGCCACAAGTTAATATTTTTTCGCATTCCAGCTGTTTCTAAAAAGTCTTCCCTACTATCCTCTATTTTCTTCACATCTAACCCAATCGAGAAATTAGTTAAACATATGTTATCATCTTGAGCTTCTCTGACTCTGACGCCTATGCCTGAGTCTTAAAATCCTGCCAAATTGTCATGTTTCTGGGTCTATGTTCACCTCAATTAATACGTGTAGCAATTTGTGACATTGATTGACAAGTATCAGATTATGCCAATCAACATAACTTTGAATAATCTTTCCACTGATATATCACACTTGGTACAATATACCTTGGTTTTGGCTGTAGATGGAGGGGACGGGACTTACGTATGTGATACCCTGTAGTGTCCATTCTGTTTTAGCATTTCTAAGAGAAATCTCTGTACTTCCTTTTATATAAATATAATCAAGAGTCAAATTAACTCAATAACGTTTATTTCATTGGTTATGTTATGTGCATTCTTTCAAATTATTAGGTTTATCAAAGCTGCATAAGAAAAGTGTATTTCCATGTAAACTGGTATCTTGTGAAAATCTTCAATCGAAGGACTCCGGCCGACGCACGTTATTGGTCAAGATGAATACACAAGTTGCAGGCTCTGACGAATTGGGTTATCAACCAGGAGATCACGTGGGGATATTTGCGGCCAATAGGGACGAATATGTAAATTTTATCATAACGAGGCTACAGAATGCGCCACCTCCCGACGAATTGATACAATTAGAAATTCGCAAGAGCAGCGGTAATTGTTTTTATCTTATGAATAATAAAAATCAATTATAAAGACAGTTGATATACTGGTATTTCAAAACAAAAGTCAAGTTTTTCATCATTTTTAGAATGTTTTTATTCATTTCAATAGGTAACACAAATAAATGGGCTGCAATCGACCGTTTTCCTCCCATGACACTGCGCACCGCATTGACGAACTACTTAGATATAACAACGCCGCCAACACCTGTGTTGCTTCAGCATTTCGCTACCCAGACAAGTGATGCCAAAGACAAACTTGCCCTTGAAAAACTAGCTACGGTCAGTACGACAACCCTGATTACGTTAAAATATTGTTTTTTATTCCAAACTAATTCATTTTTTGATAACTGGTTAGGGGAATTCACCCTATACTTGGCAGGATATTTCGGTGAAACAAGTATAAACGTTGCCCCTCAGAAAGGTGGTGGGAAAGCAAGATAGTCAGATCTCACATTGTGATGCAGCCATAGCCACAGTTGTTTTCTTAGTTTATTTCTACTACATGTGTTAGAGCATTTCCACTTCGTTACTGTAACTCCAACGGACTTTAACATTAACATGGATTGATGTGTTTGTCCATTCGGATATGATAAGTCTCAATGCAACAGCATTAGTCACCTTCCAATCAGTTGCCATTTATAAGATAATCAAATGGACTCCCGTGGATTAATGATTTAAGTGGTTTGGACCCGGTGTAAAAGGGTAGGAGGTCCTATCAAATTATGGTCCTTCTCTCCATTGATTTATATGGTGACCTCTTTAGCTCTCTTTCCCTTATCATCTTATACACACTCAGGGCCAGTAAGGGCCGTTTAGAAAGGGGTCCATAATCCCCAGGGGACCATAATTTCTTTCACACCGGGTTTGGAGTGGTTTGATCCCGAAGGCTAGGTTGATCTGCGTTTGGAGGGTGGTGAAAAGGTTTATATCACCATTTGAAGTATTTCCAACCAAATCCCCAACTTAACCTGATATTAATCTCCGTACATAACAGATTTTATTTTTTTAAATAACATCATTTCATCTCTATATTCCAGGACACTGCATCATATGAAAACTGGAAATCCTGGAAACTTCCGAATTTGGTTGAAGTTCTGAAGGAATTTCCCTCGGTAAAAGTCAACCCGACTCTCCTACTTGCCCAGCTTCCGCTCTTGCAACAACGCTTCTATAGTATAAGCTCTTCTACTCTGGCACACCCTGACGAGGTCCACATAACAGTTATAGTTGTAGAGTATCGCGCACAAGGTGGAAAGGGCCCCCTTCACCAAGGGGTGTGTTCCGCCTGGTTCGAAAAGCTAAAGGAGGGGGACAGCATACCATGCTACATTAGAACGTGCGTATACAAAAAACTAGATTACAAACTAGTAATGCAGAATTCGATTAAATTTGCATAAAGTATATTTCTTTGTTTAATGACATAATGTAAAGAAACACGTCATTGATGGTGAGTTTCCTTTAAATTGATCCAAGTTATTTATTTTTCAGAGCTCCCAACTTCCACATTCCAGAAAACGCCAGTTTACCCATTGTTATGGTCGGCCCGGGAACTGGTATCGCGCCTTTCAGAAGTTTTTGGCAACAACGTAAAATAGAAGTAGAAATGGGAGAATTGAACAAGCGTAGGTCGCATCATACATTTCACTTACTAAAGTGGAAAAAAATTTAATTAATGTGTTCCAACAGAGCAAAACCACAAAGCAAATTTCAAAATTAAACAAATTCCATTCGAAATCAGAGTGTATAGGAACTAGTCATTAGAAAATAGAAAGAGATACATGGTAACAGTTTTACTTTTATTGAATCATGATTGGGTGTAAATGTCAGAATGTAATATTGAAATTCGTAAGAATTCACCCCGGAATAGCCTGACTACGGTAAAGTCAGATACCGTTGTCACAAATGCCGGACATAACCATCGCTTCAATTAGATTTTCCTGAACTGTATGTTTAATAGAGCACCTAGACTAAATTCCTATGGAACAACAATCAATCAAAGTGCCTCAATACTCATTGTACAGTTAATAATGTTCAACCATCGAAATAAAGTCTTTAATTTAACCGATCAAAATAGGATACGGGACAACGGACACTGTTATTACCATATGCCGTTCTCTTTCTAAATTACTAAAATTCATATTCCGTTGTCATTGACGATATCGAAGACGCTATATTGTGGCGATTCACGACCCAATTTGATCGAAAATGGGATTTCATACGATACATTATCACAAGAGCTTAATGCATGCACAGAATTAGCGACGATAAAATCCCATGAAATAGAGACCAATTGATTAAACAGTTGAAGCGACGGTTATGTCCGCCATTTGTGACAACGGTATCTGACTTTACCGTAGTCAGGCTATTCCGGTGTGAGAATTGATGACTAACTGTTTGAGAGTTCAGGCTCACAATCAAACATTTACGGAATTCAGTTTTGTCCAAATATTTTCGGCCAACTTGAACTCATGAACATTTAATTTATTCCAGAAGGGAAATTTGGATTCGGGGAGATAGACTTGTACTTTGGATGTCGCAATTCAAAGATGGACGATATATACCGTCACGAAACGATGCCCCTTCAAGCTGACGGATATCTGTCTCACGTCTACACTGCATTCTCGAGAGAACCTGGCCAGTCGAAGGTAAGCCAAAGGCTTTAACAAATTTCAATGCGACTTAAAACCCGTATATTCACGACGCCACTCATGAAGAGGGGAGTAACCCCAGGATTTGGGGATAACATACGTCTGTATAATGTAAATCTGTATTGAGATGACATATTCGCTGATTGGTCGACAGACAAATGACGTCATTCAATGGCGGTTTCAAAACACGCTTCGAATGATAGCATATGTTGATTTCTGACGTATTAACCAATACTATAGCTCGTTACTTTACATCAAGATAAAGAAAGATGTAAGGACTATACTCACATTAATTAAAACATCTTCACATATAGCTCTGGGCAAGGTGTGCCCAATTCCATCCAATCAGAACACGCAATTTCACGTAATTGCATTCAATTATATAACCAATCACCGCATACATTGTATATTTGCCAATGGTTGTCAAGGTGAGAACCGGATTCTACAAATTGAAATTGATGCTTTGCAAACTTGACCCTTGCAAAAAATTTCAATGAAAATATGTTCTTTTTGTGATTTCGTATCTCGTAACTGACATGGTAGAATTTTCTTTGCAATGTATGAAACAAATTTAAACCCAAAACTCAATGCATGGTGGGATGACCATTCCTTTCAGGCGCTGTTTCCTAATATTAACACGTCTCGTGAAAATTTTTGAAAACAGCACCTTCAACGAATGGTCATTCCACATTGCAGTTTAAACAACGACGTGTCGTTTTTGGAAACTAGCCGGTGAAATGAAAATTCGGACGAACAAAGGTGATCAGCAAGAAACGTAACTTTGTCTGTCACCTCTAAAGCTCTGGGGTTTTCTCTCCTCTTCGATGCATACATAATAACTTATTTTCAAACTTACATGTCATTTAGACATTTTATCGATTTTATCAATTTTTGCCAGCTGATGTACTTCATGAGTTCTAGTTTATCGAGACATAAACGGCCATAAACGGTTTCCTTTGGAGGCCCCGGTTGCACTCATAATCTCTGACTTTAATTTCAGGAATATGTTCAAACAGTTTTGTCTAAAAACTCAAAAAACGTATACCGACAAATAGTTGTGGAACATGGACATTTTTACGTATGTGGTGACGTTTCAATGGCGTCGGAGGTCTCTAATGCTCTGAGGCACATAATTAAGACTGAGGGGAAGATGACCTCTGATGAAGCACAACAGTTCATACTTACAATGAGGGTATGAAAGTTATGTATTGGATAGCTCTAAGGCAACATAAACAGATTATTTGCTCTTGAAATCTACCTTTGATGATAAAACGTCGATGCATCAATTGAACAGTTTGGTTTAGAATTTAGAAAACCAATAAAAAATCAATTAAGCCCACACGACAAATTACAAACGAATAGTCAGCGGGGCAATCAGTGTCTAACTTCATATTTATCTTCTTGTAGGAGAACAACAGATTCCACGAGGACATATTCGGAGTGTCGCTGAAGGTACAATCCGATCGTAAACTGCAACTTCAAGAATCATTTGATTTTTCTGCACAAATTCCTGAGCGATGAACAACACTGATACTAATCCAGTGAAATAGAACCATATCGATGATTCAAAAGACGACTTGTATTTTATATTCAAGATTCATTGTGCTCGAAGCCAAACATTTGGCTTCCCCACATATCAATTTATATTACATTTACTGTACATATAGTAATACATTTATACAGTAGCATTGCTTGTGATATATTTCAATGCTAACCATTAAAATGATTTGTAGAACATCATTTTTAAGGCATCAGAGCATTGCTGATATTGAACTGCTTATTAATTGAACTGCGTCATTTATCATTACATTCTATGGAGAAAATTATGATTTATGTATAGTATCTGTAAAATTGGTGTTGGGTGTTTTCAGTCAAGTTTCTGCATTTGTCGAACATATTATCAACATCATCGTCATCTAGTATACATTTTAAAAGCTCCGTGTGCGAATAAATGCTATGCATTGATTTGAATTATCTTTTTTAAAAGATACGCTTGAAATTTAGTTTTAAATATTTTTAAGATTTTTCGAACCAAAAGTCCACTTTTTGAAATTTCAAATATCACCTTTTGATAACATTTGGTATGACTACAGTATAAGTGGTTTGAACTTTATACGGGGCCTCTAATAATTTTTGTTTAATTTCCTCATTTGACACTTTTTCAATTGACTTTATTCATCTATAGTAGTTTCAAAGTCTGTGAATTTCAATTTGCTTGTTGTAATTTTTGCATATTCATAAAACAACATTAGACCGATTGATCATCAATCACTTATGTGCAATTGTATGAAACTGATGTATATTTAGATTGTTCATGGTAGATGTATACGTACCTTATAATATTAGGGAGGTTAAGGTTGCATATAAAAACGCGCGCACATGATTGCATACATTTATCTCGGTTATACCCGTTCAGCTTCGGTGCGTATTCTTTGAATGGGAGTGTGACTTGAAATGATTTTTCTCGTTATTCCTGAATATGTATAGTGATGCGTGTTTCTTTACACTTGTAAAATGCAAGAAAATACAAGAACTTTCAAGAACCCGCGATTTTGGAGACATTTAAAGAAAACGGCCTCACTTAGAATGACTAACTGAACTTGATGGTGACGTAGGAATGACACGTCATCAGTACGTTCAGTTAGAGTCATTCTGAAATCTTAGGTTTATCGAAAACGAAAGAATTTTGGCCTCCATCTTGAATGATACTAACTGCAGTGAGAGTCATCCAGCTGTCGAAAAGTTAGATAGAGCGTTCTCACTTTTTGTCAAAAACTACTTGATGGATCTATGAAATGAATGCATAGCAAACAATACATATTTGCAGCTTACTGAATAGTAGGCAAGCTGTGATAATCTTTCAAAACACTATTCACTGACTATGATATAGTATTCGATTTATCTCGATGTGTATTGACCTACTTTTTGAAAAACCAATAACATAAATGTATACCGGTACATAGTTTTCAATCAACATGAGTTAATCCGTAGACACCGACATGTAATTTCACATTTCCCATTGCGTTCTAAACATGAACCACTGATAAGAAGCTAAACGGGTGTTGCAATGATACAAAAGTATGCGCACACTGCACATTCCTATATTGACTTCACGTTTACGGTGTGAAAGACAGTTTAAGTATAACACCCCAGTCACATTTCTTACGGCGACCGTATGGTCTATCATTTCTGCACGGCGAATTTTTAATTTCTGCTGATAAATGTTAATGTTTTTTTCATTTTATTTACATCAGCAACAATTCATAAATGTTATTTATAGTGCTAGGATATAATATTAAATAAATAAAAACAGTCTAGTGAAACATTGACCGAGTAACTTTAGCTTTTGTAAAATAGGTTGCTGTCGTTTCCAGAAGTACTCGAATGCAAAACCCGCTTTTACAAACTGGCTTCTTACGTACTACAGAAGCCGGCTTCTGGAGTCACCAAGAAGCCGGCTTTTAAAAGCCGGATTCTGAAGGACAAGAGAAGCCGGCTTCTGGAGTCACCAAGAAGCCGGCTTTTACAAACTGGCTTCTTACGTACTACAGAAGCCGGCTTTTAAAAACCGGCTTCTGAAGGACAACAGAAGCCGGCTTCTGGAGTCACCAAGAAGCCGGCTTTTAAAACTGGCTTCTTACTTACTGACCTACTGCAGAAGATGGCTTTTGAATATAGTTTATATTGTCATATTTTTGCAAAACTATACGGGTAAATTGAATTCTAAGCATGGATATCGATGAATTTGATCACGTTCATCTATTCCAAAAATATTATGCATTGTATTTCTGTTTAATAAAAACGCACCGCTCATTTTTCAAAACTGGCTCCAATTTGGAGCCAGTTTTCAAATCAGCTCGCACCATTAAACACAAGCTATTAACGGACAATCTAGCCACTGGGAATCATGAGATACTGTCTCCCGATCATTTTGATGTGGATTATGCATCTTATTCTCGTATAATCTGCATGAAAATAAGGAAAAACTGAAAAATATGTAAAATTATAACATAATTCAAGATTTTTTGCAAAAAGTCATTTCAAGTCAAAACTATAAGAGAAAATTGAAGTCTAAGTAAAAACATCGATGAATTAGATCATGTTCACTAAATCAGAACAGATTATGCATTGCATTTCCGTTTTATAAAAACGCACCGCTCATTTTTCAAAATTGGCTCCAACTTGGAGCCAGTTTACAAATCAGCTCGCTCCATCTTACTCAAGCTATGTAGGGACAATCTAGCAACTGGGAATCACGGGATACTGTCTCACGATCATTTCTATGTGCATTATGCATCTTATTCTCGTATAATTTGCATGAAAATGAGAAAAAACTGAAAAATTCGTAAAATTGTAACTTATTTCAAGATTTTTTGCAAAAAAGTCATTTCAAGCCAAAACTATGAGAGAAAATTCATTTCTAAGTAAAAATATCGATGAATTAGATCACGTTCACTAAATCAGACATTTCGTCTAGAGCGCATTGTAAAGCAGAGCTTTGCGACAAGACCTACAATTCAGATACTCTATATCTCATGAATAGAATGACCAATCACCAAGTCCTTGGTAGGGCATATGTAAAAGTGTATCCTTAAACATCTCACCAATTAGCAAATATCATGCTGTCACCAGCGTTACGTACGACTGGTCCGAAAATTGACATTTCTTCTAGAGCGCAAACTGCATCAGAGATTGAAGACAAATTAGATATTAAATATATTACGAACTTACTCAAGAAGTTCTTGGTAGAACATATACAAAAATATATATTTTAACATCTCGTAAATTAACAATCAACATACTGTTACCAGCGTGACGCTAGACCGGTCCGAAAATTGACATTAACGTCTAGAGCGCAATATAAATCAGACAAATTACATATTCTATATCTTTCGAATCGAATGACTAATCAACAAGTCCTTGGTAGAGCTAATACAAAAATGTATACTTACAGATCCTTCTAATTAGCAAATAACATGCTGCCACCAGTGTTACGTACGACTGGTCCGAAAATTGACATTTCTAATTGCAATGTAAATCATTCAGATCTTTGTAACAAATCTTACAAATTAGATACTCTATATCTGACGACTAGAATGACCAATTAACAAGTCATTAGTAGGGCAAATGTGAAATTGTATCCTTAAACATTTCACTAATTAGCAAATATACAGCTTTTAGCAGCATTACGTACGACTGGTCCGAAAATTGACATTTCTTTTAGAACGCAAACTGCATCAGTGATTGAAGACAAATAAGATATAAAATATATCACAAAGGGGAACATCAGTCATCAAATCCATTGATGAGCATACTTCAAAATAAATACTTAAACGTTTCACAAAATAGCAAAGGACTAGCTAGTAGCAGTGTGACGCACGACTGCTCCGAAAATTGACATTTCTTTTAGAGCGCAAACTGCATCAGCGATTTGAGACAAATTAGATGTAAAATATTTCATGAATGGAAACATGAATCATTAAATATTACGTAGAGCAAACGTAGAAACATATTCTGAAACGTCTCTCAAATCAGCAAATTGACAGTTCGTCTAAAGCGCAATGTGAATCAAAGCTTTGTGACAAATAAGATACTCAATATGTCACGAATAGAATGACCACTCAACAAGTCCTTTGTAGAGCGAAATGCAAAAATATATACTTGAACGTCTCTCAACCTAACAACCCACATGCTGCTACCAGCATGACGTAAGGCCGGTCCGAAAATTGACATTTCGTCTAGAGCTCTATGTTAATCAAAGCTTTATGACAAATTAGATACTCAATATCTCACGAATAGAATGACCACCCAACAAGTTTTTGGTAAAGTAAATGCAACAATATATATTTTTACTTTAACGTTTCTCAAACTTAGAACCCACATGCTGCTCCCAGCGTGACGAGAGACTGGTCCGAAAAATGACATTTCGTCTATGACACAATGTAAATCAGAGCTTTATAAGAAATTAGATATTCCATATCTCTCAAATAGAATGACTAATCATCAAGTTATCGGTAGAGAAAATGTAAAAATGTATCCTCAAAGATCTCTCTTATTAGCAAATAACATGCTGCCACGAGCGTTAAGTACGACTGGTCGGAAAATTGACATTTCGCCTAGAGCGCAAACTGTATCAGAGATTGAACACAAATTAAATATAAAATATTTCACAACAAGACACATCAGTTATGAAATCCCTCTAAGAGAAAACGTAGAAACATCGGTGAAACGTGTCACAAATCAGCAAAGGACTAGCTAGTACCAGCGTGACGTAGGATTAAACAGAAATGTTAATCAGAGTTTTTTTGACAAATTAGATACTCAATATCTCACGAATAAAATGACCATACAACATGTCCCCGGTAGAGCAAATGCAAAAATACATCTATAAACGTTGCTCACATGAGCAAACATCATGCTCCTACCAGCGTGACGTAAGACCAGTCCGAAAATTGACATTTCGTCTAGAGCGCAATGTAAATCAGAGCTTTGCGACAAATCCTACAAAATAGATACTCTATATCTCACGAATCGAATGACCAATCAACAAGTCCTTTGTAGGGAAAATTTAAAAAGTATCCTAAACATCTCGCTAATTAGCGAATATCCCACTTCAACCAGCATTACGTACTACTGGT